TATAATGTGTCCTTCTAAAGTCTACAGGCAATTAATCCCACCAAGCTTTCTCACAAAGGGTTAAGATTACAAACCTTCCTACCTCACACAGTTGTATGGGGGAAAGGGAGTGAGTGTTAAAAGCGAAACTGCCTGGGCCAGTTATCCTCTCTTCTACTGGCCAACCTCTCCTCCTTCAAGTGGTTTCTTCTCTGCTTTCTCCCACACAGGACATGCGAGGGGTTAAACACATTAAAAGGCACACTCTTTTCAGACTGATATTCCTTTGCAACAGGAAAAAGAGGCAGAGGGGAACAAAAGCCAAGTCACACAGGTCACCCAAGAACCTGCAACAGAACGCTTCACCATTAAGTCTTGATGTACAAAGTGAAGCGGCAAATAGAAGTAATCATTCTGTTAATGCAAGCTAAAAACCCACCTTCACCTGTAACACCCAACTAATGAGGCAAAAGTGCTTTCTTGGCCCGAATCATACACTTCAATTTGAACATAAAGGGAGCCTTAGTCTAATTCTCATCGATAAACCTTTACTGCCAACAGAGAATAACTGGAGAGACAAGAAGAAAAGCACCGTATGATGTTGTAGCTATCTACATAGAATAAATACCAAAATACAGCTATGACAGAATAAACAGGCATTGCCATAGATACAACTAATAAGCAGATCATTACGAAAACCCTTAAACAAAAACAAAGAATCCATACAGGACAGGGTTGGGGGGCGGGGATATAGTATAGATACCCACAGAGGAGCGTTTAGCTTGAAAAGTAACTATATGTAATTTTTTTTTTTTTAAGTGCACTATCCATACTTATACCAGCAAAAATTACAAAAGCTATAAAGTTCCGTATTGGTGGATTTTGTGGAAACATACTCAAATATTGCATATGGCATTTTTAAATGTCGCAGCGCTCTGGAGATTAATTTGGCAATGTACAAATCACTAAAAATGATCATACTCTTCGATGATGCATATGGCACTTTGGGGAAGACAATCCAATGAAATAATAAAAATAAAAACACCACCACTTAGAGGAAAAAAATGGACTTACGCTATATTTTACAAATAAAAACTGGCAAATCCCTCACAGGACTGACTTGAGGTTACTGCATTCAGGATAAAAAACAGGATACATAACATACATAAGAAGGACTTAGGAAGTAATAATAAGCACAGTAACACCAACTTGGGAGAGGTCATGGAGCTAATCAATAGTTGGTGACAGTGAATTCTGCCATTTATATTCAAGTTGGTCTTGATTTCGGTGGCTAGTTTTTGCTAGAAGGTGTAGACATTTGGGGTGTAATGGGACTTATTTCTCAATCTCAGATTCCTACTAAGTTTTAGGCAATCTGGCCTTCACAGCTCTGGATCATGTCAGCCAATCAGGTGGAAACTGAGAGTGATGTGAGGAACCTAATGACTCCTCTTCACGAACTCGGACCTCCAGCAACTAGGAAGCTCCTGGCAGCATGTGGGAATGTCTGCTCTCTCACCACTTTGGCGCCGATCCATTTCTACCCCTCAGCGCACAGGAGGGATAGGCAGTGGAAGCTTTCATTACCTCAGAAAACGCTTCCTTGGCTTCACTTATATCCTTTCAAAAGAAACTACAGAAGAAGTTAGAAAGTCCCCACTCAGGAAAGAGAAGTAGGAACCTATTTTGGGCTTTCCACCCTATCAGCTAAGGGTGAGAGTGGACCGTGGTCTGTGTTTCCTGCCATTTTCTGCCCCAAATCCGAGGCTTACTGTGGGCACATGTATGGGGGTACTGGATGGCCAAGTAACAAGCAGGTGCCTCGGATCCTTACTTTAACAGCCCTAGAACACACACCATTCTGGTTTCTCCTCATCAAATAAAATGATTCTTGGGCTCCTACAGTGCTTGTTCCTTTAGGTCCATATTTACATTCTCCATCCTTGTTGAAAAATTCAGATACAGGTCTGTAAATAACAGGCTTAGGAATGAACTTGGCTACGGGAGCTACAGAAAACAAGATCAATAAAGCCAATAATAGCATTTGGTTTAGTGGTCACAGAACTTCCAACAAAAGAAAAGGAAGAAAAAGGCCCAACATTTTAACAAGGGAATTTCTTTCATTTTTACTTGATACCTAAAGGTAAAGCATCTTAATTATCTGAATCTTTAAAGTAAGTGTAAACTTATATTTTATAAGCTATTCTGAAATCTGCCCCGTTTAATAATCTGTAACGTCAAAAAAAACATTTTAAAGTGTCTCTCACAATTAAACCCATCCACAACCTTGCATAAATCAAAATTTTGCTACCATAACAAAATGTTACACTGGGGCTGTATAACATTGCCCACATCCTCATTACATGCAACACTAATTACTACCAGCAGATTCAGAATTTTCTGCACATTAGAGGCTTTTAGAGGAGCTATAAAAAATTTCAGGCACCATTAATTTAAATTTGTATTGAAATTTCCTTTTGACAGATGGCCAAAAATTACTTATTATTTAGAGTACCAGAGCTGCCTGTTTGCACATTAGAAGAGGAAAGGGAAAAATTAAAAGCAAGAAGGAAATTTATGTCACGTTCATTACCTGTTAAATGTTAAGGAGCATTATCCTGCATGAATAAATGATTTCATACAAGCCTGACTCCAGCTGCAGGCAACTGGCATGCTCCGGCTGATAAAAACCATCTCTAGTCACACAGCAGACAATCATAAAAAGCCCCTCTTAACCAGGAACCACTTACGGGAGGATGAGGACGATCGATGGAACAAGCAACTTACTGCTTCTCTGAGCATCACAGAACACATTTACAAAAATTAGTGAACTATTTCACCTTGCAAAGCCACAGGACAGCCCCAAACCTGACACAACACAACTTCAAATTCAAGAACGGTACCCCCCAAAATATCTATTTATAGCTACCATTCCATAATAAATAAATCCAGGCAAAATCATCCGTCTCTATTTCCTTTTGTTTTTCCCCTGGCTTCCAAGCTATACAGATACTCACTCCCAGACTCACCCTGAATGATTATAGATGATTTCAAAATATACCCTACTCTGACGTGAGGGACTATAAAATGGAATTGACACAAAAGTGTGCACTGGAATATAAATATTTTCACAGTCTTCTGGGAGTGGGGCATGAGAGGAGGCTTTTGTTTAGTTCACTGGCCTGCCTGAAGGTATGTATTTATCATATGAAGCAGGGAATGTTTATGTTATTGGCCTCAGAATAACTAGACAGGCCTTCCAAGGGCTGCTACCAGCAAATCTTGGTCAATGCATTTACTTACTACTTCTTAAGTACCTATGTGTGGAATACTTACTACACTCTGATTAAGAATGCTTTTTAATTTAGGTACTGATGTTCATATTATACAACAAAGTACACAGCTGTAAATGCATAATTAAATAATTCAATGTGTGCAGTTCCAATTGTAAACGCTGACATTTCTATGGGTATGCAGATACCCTTTCAAATTACAAAGATTCTTGATGGTTAAAATAGATAACATTTTATTTTCCATCATTTAATGACTTTGGGGGGAAAAAAAACCCCTACTTCCCTTTTATTATAAAAGGACAAGGAATAAAGAGGCATTCAAAGTGACAGCACAGGTGGTTTCAGGGGAAGATTTTAGTCTCCGTATACATAACTTCATTAAAAACTGCAAGAGAGGACTTCCCTGGTGGCGCAGTGGTTAAGAATCCGCCTGCCAATGCAGGGAACACGGGTTCGAGCCCTGGTCCGGGAAGATCCCACATGCTGCGGAGCAGCTAAGCCCCTGTGCCACAGCTGTTGAGCCTGTGCTCTAGAGCCCGCGAGCCACAACTACTGAAGCCCGCGCACCTAGAGCCCGTGCTCTGCAACAAGAGAAGCCACTGCCATGAGAAGCCCGTGCACCACACCGAAGAGTAGCCCCCGCTCGCAGCAACTAGAGAAAGTCCGTGCGCAGCAACGAAGAACCAATGCAACCAAAAATAAACAAACATACAAAAAAACAAACTGCAAGAGATGTAACTGCCTATGCTCCAAAACATTCAACTGTTGTAAAATACAAGAAAAGGAACTGACAGCATCTGTGCTTTGGCCAATGCTTGAGAACTGCCCTTGCTTTCTAATCTATACAAAATACAACGGCATGCGTAATACAATTATCCACAATACAGTAGCATATTTACATTGTGCCTGGCTCAAAAGTTACCAAGCAATTTCATATTTTACTCATTTTCTGCCATGGTAGCCTGTTTTTCTTGTTTGCTTACTATATAAATTCAGGCATCCTTAGCATACCCCATTATGGTATTACACAAGCACATCCAAATCATTAGGCCCTAACTACTTTTCCTCTTTCCC